CATTCTGGCGAGTAAACAAAAAAATGTACTAGCCAATGGCGATTCAATTGCCAAGGTGTCCGTAGAGGGCTGTATCAAGAAATTATTTTAACCCAAAAAGCAAATTTTGCTTCCTTCGAACTGGTTGTCTTTAAAATACAAATCTTGTGTAATCCCAGACTATCTGTAATCAGAAGCACATTTAAAACTGGAATATAATTTAATTTCATTCACATGTATTTCATAAACACATAATCCTTTCTGGATTACAATCCGCCATCAAAATGATACATTTAATTATTCCAGCTGCTGTGAGAAAAGGTTATAAACGATCCGCATTAATTATTCATATTTCCCCATGAGCTGATTCGCTACAAGAGTTTTGAACACTGGCTGGTTATGTACTTGCTCAAATATTGATTTTGGATAATTTTTAACCAAAAAAAGTTACGGACTGCAGATTTAAGTTTAGCATTAGGGATAAATTAAAATAAAATATAAAAAAAATAAATAACTTAAAACCAATTTCTTATGATCATAATTATCCTACCTTTACAGTAATCTGACGGATTCTCTTGTTCTTCATCATCTGACCCGAGTAATTCTGCTGGAGGTGGGGAAAAGTCTGGAGGTGGAGGGCTCAGAGCTTGTGGTGGGGTCGTCTGATTGTCCGGGGCCTGTGGAGTGGGAGGAGTCGTGGAGAGAACGGCAGGTAGACCCAGTGAAGGTGCTATGGGAGTGGAAGGTGTGTCTGGAGACGAGAGGACGCTGGGTGAGGGAACCACTGTGATGGGAACGGAGTGAGGGATGGGGGCCTGAGGCTGCAGGTCTGGAGGGCTCTGGGAGAGGTTTAATAGGGGCGTCGGGGGCGACTCTGGAGGGGTGGCGGATCTGTGGATGGTGAGGATGTGACACAGTTCATCGGAGGAGGGGATCTGGGGTCTGTAGAGCAATAAATAAAAGAAAAAGAGATGTTTAAATACAACATATGCTGGTTGACATCCTGTGCGAAAGAACATTCTTCTACAACACGTCACTTGTCTGTTGTCTACGGCAAATGCAGCTATGTTTAAAGGAGCAGAATGTTACTATTTTTAATCAAGATTCGCTGATGACAACTCCATAAATAATAAATCAACAGCTACTACTTTTCATAAGCAATCTCCAGCGGTGACTTTCATATCTAGGGCTTATGATTTCACTTAAAGCACATAGTCTTCAACCATCTGTGCGATTCAAAACATCAATGCACCATCTTAATATAAAGCCCCTCTGTGTCTCAGTCTATCTAGCTTTTATTAAACGACCAATAAGTACATCTAAAAGGGGTTTGCAACAGTGGCCAAACAATATGGATTTTTCTTGATGCTGATATCTAGAGAGCAGGGTTGCCAATAGAATGGCTAACATAAACATATAATGTGTTATGCACACACTGTAATGCACAAGAACGTTCAGACATCTGGGAAGACAGAATGCAGTTCATACAACTTGTGATTATATATAATAATAATATTTTTTCTATATTTAGTTACTTAATTTTTAGGCATGTAGCACATTTATTATCAGTCACTTACAAAAAAAACTATCAAATTAAATTTTATTATAATATAATATAAAAATATAATATACAATATTTACATATAAAATGTAAATTCTCATGTTTTTTTTTACAATCTGTAGCAAGAAATTATGCATCATATTTTTTCATCATTTCCATCAACATATCAGTCTGACCTTACATTGCAAACATTACATTGTCTCATTTAATTTTTATTACCCAAAACAAGTGTCAAGGTTTAGACTGGTTTAGGATGACACGGCCGGAGAAATACATCAGGTTTTTTTTTAAGTGATTAGTTCACTAACTGGATTCCTTTGACTCACTATTGATCGGATGCTGCACATTTTACCGACACCTAATAATTTTGGGGAAATAAAAATGCATATTCACACAATATTTACTCAAAATAAATTAACACACATTTGAAAACATTTTTGCATTTTCCACAAGACTAAGTTATATCTCAAAATATTGTCTGAATAATCAATCTGATATTTCTCTATCAATAAAATAGTATAAAAACAATACGTTATTATTCAATATTCATGGATATTACTGGAAATTTTAGTGCAACATTAAAAGCGTGTCATTTTCTGCCTGTGTTACATAACATAAACAATAATGAAAGCTGATGGTCTTCTTAGAATACGATACTAAGAGCACGTGATATTTATGTAGGGGAAGCACATACACATCTGCTCTACACAGCTTCATGCTATTCTGGCCTACTTCTGAAATTTTGTATCGCAGCACTGCTAATGTAATTTAATCACTTGCATTTCTCATTTGACCATATTCATTTGTACTAAAGTTCAGTGAGTACTCAATGAATAAATGTGGGAAAATCAGAATTCTGGATAACATCTGTGCACAATCTGTGGTTCCTATCCATGATGCACGTATGTGCAATATTTACCTAATGTGTATTGTTACGATTTTTCCAGGGATGTGTTAAAATAGGTCCCACATGCATGGACTGGGAGGGAGGGCCATGAGTCAATATGCTTATCTGGAGAAGTGACTCCCATGGCCACCCTCCTATATATTTTTAGCAGCATCTCACAGAGCAGAAACCCAGATCTGGATACTGCCCAGTTAGACACACTCACCCCAGCTCCAAACTAGAGATCTCCACTGCTGCTGCCACTGCTTTGCGGTGCTTCTTGTTTTTCTTCTTCTGCTTTTTGCCGTGGCTGTTCTGGGGAAGGCTGTTGTCGCTGCTGGATACTGCCATGCATCAGAGAGAATATCATAAACAACATAATACATATTAGACATGCTGTTATAGGCACCCCCCCCAATTCACTATACATGAGCAACTAATGGAGGACAGTCCACCAACAATTTGAGGATATCACATCGCCAAAAGCCTATATGACTCTATTAATCCCATGCATTTATCAATAACCAACCGAATAATTCAAACAATCAGTGTGAATCCAAACATTAGATCCTCTAAACGTGCTCACGCTTAGCTTTAACGCTAACACGGGCTCTAACATTAGTCATCAAAACAAGCGTCATTTTAACCCTCCGACATTGTTGTATTTATCCTCAAGACACATAACACATCCACAGACACTAACATATTTAGGGCCGTTTGGCTGTTATTTAATGAAAACACTCTCACCGTTCATCGATATCATCGGGACAGCTGTCACCTCACGCACATTCGCTTCAGTTGGTTCTGCGCATGCGCACCCAGACAGCGCTGTATAGACAGCAGCTCAAGCGATTGAAATGGGACTGCACGAGGACTTCATATTTTCTGAACATTGGGCATACTAAATGTCTAGCAAAATATATTTTTCCACCTAAGGCATTAAAGCGTTATCTTATTTCAAATTAGTGAAACAGAACATGGAAATTGTCGTGTTTTTTTCTAATCTGAAGCCAGAAATTGTCACAATTTTCCTGAAAATTGTTCGGAATCAAAACAAATATTTTTGATATTTCTGCTAATATGTCAGCCTGAAATTTTTCATTTTCATTTTTGGGTGAACTGCGGCCAGCCTGACAATGTCAAAAAATGATAGACGTAGATGAGTTTGTTTCTTCATCAGAACATATTTAGAGAAATGTATTAGGCTACATCACTTGCTCACCAATCAAGGGCATATAATTTAGTAGGGACACTAGAGACATGTCCCTACCAATATCCAGCGACTACTAAATTATCTTTAGCAATCATTTTGATCAAACAATTAAATTGGCCTATATGTGTGCCTATGTAACCATTGTTGTTGTAATTTAGGCCCATCTGAAATAGGTCATACCATTGATATTACCTGAGAAGTTAAAGAAAACGCTAGAAAACTGTGTGCTTTCAAGGATGTACATTTATGGGTGGAGTATCCTACTGAAGAGGATTAGGGCCAAGAAATAATAAAAAAAAAAATTTAAACCATCTCGAGATTAAAATCGTTATATTTCGAGGAAAAAGTCGAAATAACATGTTGAGTATAAACTCATTAAATTACCATTAAAAAGTTGTTAAATTTTGAGAAAAACTTGTTAAATTTGGAAAAAAAAACTTGTTAAATTTTGAGAAAAAAAGTCAAAATAAAATGTTGAGAATAAACTTCTTAAATTACGAGAGACAAGTCGCTAAATTTCGAGAAACAACTCGTTAAACTGCGAGAAAAAAGTTGTTAAATTGCGAGAACACAGTCATTAAATTTCGAGAAAAAAGTCGTTAAATTTCAAGAAAAAAGTCAAAATAAAATGTTGAGAATAAACTCATTAAATTACAAGAAAAAAATTTAAATTTTGAGAAAAAAGTCGAAATAAAATGCTGAGAATAAACACACTTGTGTCAGGTTGATTTCATCTCAATCAAACCACAGATTCCGCAGTGATTTAAACTAGTTTAAAGGCAGATGAAATAGCGCTGCCATTCTCAACAGCACTGACCCGGAAAAGAGGAGAACAACAATTAGTCTAGTTAGAAAACTTTTCAATCCACAAAATAATATTTACAATGGGTTTACTGTAGCAACACTAAACCAACCCAATTAATAAATTATTATTAAACACTCGTTAGGCAGTTGATTTCCACTTTTCCGATGTGATATGTGACGAGAAAAGGAAGAAAAGCGAGTTTGGCAAAAGACGGACTCGAACCCTTGTCGACCACATCATATGCTACATCCATATGCATATTCTCCAACCTACGTCACTGCAGATGCTGTTCGACACGCTCCAACAAGATGAAATGAACCTGACACAAGTGTGTTTATTCTCCGCATTTTAATTCAACTTTTTTTCTCGAAAGTTAACAACTTTTTTCTTGTAATTTAATTAATTTATTCTCAACATTTTATTTAGACTTTTTTTCTCTAAATTAAACGAGTCTTTTCTCGAAACTTAACATTTTTCTCATAATTTAACAAGTTTATTCTCAACATTTTATTTTGACCTCAAAATGTAATGACTTTTTTTCTCGAAAGTTAACAACTTTTTTCTTGTAATTGAATGAATTTATTCTCAACATTTTATTTTGACTTCTCGAAATGTAACGACTTTTTTTCTCGAAAGTTAACAACTTTTTTCTTGTAATTTAATGAATTTATTCTCAACATTTTATTTAGACTTTTTTTCTCGAAATTAAACGAGTCTTTTCTTGAAACTTAACAACATTTTTCTCATAATTTAACAAGTTTATTCTCAACATTTTATTCTGACTTCTTGAAATGTAACGACTTTTTTTCTCGAAACTTAACAACTTTTTTCTCATAATTTAACAAGTTTATTCTCAAAATGTTATTTTGACTTTTCTTCTCGAAAGGTAATGTTTTTTCTCGAAATTTAACTTTAACATTAATTAAACTTTAATTTCAAGATGGTTTTATTTTTATTTTTTTTATTATTGCTTGGCCCTAATCCTCTTCCGTACTCTTCCATAAAGAGCATACAGTATAAGGTAGCTGAAGTGTTTAAATCATATGTGCACAGTTCAGTTGAATGATAAAGTTTACCCTCTTTATCTTTATGTTGCTGTTTCGTGTTCATCTGCTTCTCCCATTTGCTCTTTTTACATTGACTATCACTCTGTATAGATTAATACAATCAGATAAAACAATAATTTTTCAAATATTTATTACAATATATACTGATAAATTTAACATTCACTTCAATGGTATGAGATTACTGGATGCTTTAAACTGATTTTCTATTGAACTGTCACCAACTGAACGGCAGTGGTCAATCTAGGCTATTTAAAATACTGTATAGTGAATTAAGCTAAGCCATTCATTTTCCAATTTCAACATCGCTTGTAATGATTTTAAAAAGCATTTAATGTGCTTAATGGTTGAAACAGAGCTTTTCAAAACTCCTAATCAATGTGTCACAAAATGGTTCACTGTTTCGAACCGCTCCAATTGAATCACAATTGAATTCAAATCGGAACTTCGGAGCGCGAATCATTTGATTTAGATCGGAACTTCAGAGCGGATTCGCGAATCATTTTGTGAATTGAATGATTACGGAGCGCAGATCGTGACTCTTTTGATTCAGATCTAGACTTCGGTGTGCATATCTACAATCTTTTTTTCGGATTTCTTTTTTATTACACAGTACATCAAAAAAGAAGGTATACAAAATCAATTAAGAAAAAAATAACTGGTTTTACAATAGTAAAATTGTAGTTACCATGTTTTTTGTTTGTTTGTTTTTTTACAGTTTTATTAAAAATACCATGGTTAAACTATGGTTAGTGTAGCCTTGGTTTAACTATAGTAACCATGTTTTTTTTTTCACCTTAAAGAGGACATAGGTTGAATACTAATTTTGATCAAATTATTAAATGTCTGTTGTCTGTCGTTATGTCCCCACCAATGCCAAAATCATACCTATGCCCTAGGTTCTGAAGCAAGAAACTGTGATATAATTTTCATAAAAATGGTTCAGAATTGAAACAAAAATCATCCTTTTTTGGTATCGACTCCAACATGTCAGTTAAAGTCATTCAGCCCACAGGAGATGTATCCATTCGATTAATACTGTCCTGGACACCTTTGTTCTGCTGTCTACAAATATCAAAAATCGAAAACAGTAGACAACATCTTCATTGTTAAAATTATAGCTTTATTTTTTCCAGATACAAATTTCCATTTCACTCATTTCAACATTTTGGCTCCCAATTTCTCCTGAATGGAGAGAGTAAGTTGGTTGAAAAACAAAATCAAAAAACAAAAAGAACAAGTCCTCTTCACAATATGTACAGGCACATATACACAATTGTTAGCAAACTATACACAAAACAAATACAAAAGAGTAATGTCTTTAGACTGGGTTTAAGCTCTCTTTTAACCCCAACTTCATTAGAAAATTACCATATATTATTTTTTTACCCTTGTATAAAAGTTGTGTAAAACTCGGTGCCGGGCAAGGGCTCTGTATACACCACCAATTCTCTAAACAATGGTCTGAATTGTTTATCTGCAAAGATACAGAGCCATATTCCACACAACTGGCAAAACAGGAAATCGCAAGACTGTACAAAAAGAAGGTTTCACAGGATTCTCTTAGAGAAAACTGTACATAACAGGAGATTCGCCAAAAAACCTCACCGTCATGTACGAAGCGCTACAATTACTTACAAACTCTCATGCATACACACACGCTTTCTTCTGTGTTCATATGAGAGTCATGCACTCATAACGCAGTCCATCGAGTGAACCTCTCATAAAGCACCCCAATCAGAAAATCCAATCAAATCTCAAGCATGCATCAGCCTATAATAATCAAAAAATACACCAAGAGGCCAAACACATTCAACAACAGGCTAATAAACATACACAGGATGAGCAAACTAATACATTTCCCATTTTTAAAACACAGCTCTGTGCATACATTAGTATGATGAAGCGTAATAGCTCAAAATCACATAAATAAACGCAGGAACAGGGAAGCCTTCAAAAATACATTTGAGATGTCCAGATAGCAGTGCATTCATTATTTTCAGTTCTATACACAAAAGGGATCGTGTTAAAGCATATGACGTCAGCTTCATGATCAAACTACAAAAAAATTAGACTGTGGGTGAGCCAAAATGTAAATACAAAGTGCCTTGGGGCGAAAAACAAATCATGACCGTTTTAAGAAGCTAAAAAGAACAGATGCACAAAAAAATTACACCATCATCACCTGTGACAACAAGGTGAATACAGATCGCTCCAGGAAATGAGCCGAAAGGGCAAACTAGAAATGACTGAGCTACACATGGATTTATACTGAATCCATTGAGATCGACAGCTATAATCCTGAGACGCGCTGCAGTTCAGAGACTAAAAGCCCCGTATGATCTTCACAACAGGCAACAGTTGTGCCGCAGTTCATCTTTTCCTCCATTTGGCAAGTAATGTCAAGCATGTTTACTTAAATCGGTAGACATTATAAAAAGTAACAAAGAAGGCACATTGGCGGTCATGTATAAATAAGCATTATTTACAATAGTTAGTAAATAGTTAGTTTCTATTCAGTGTCTAATGTTCACAACTCTCAATCCGACTGCTGCTTTTCTAATCATTGGGACCAAGCGAATAAAGATGCTATTCTCCATTTGCCAACTCGAAATCCAATGACCCAAACTGTCCCAGTTTTGTGTCAATACCTCCCAAGGGACTGGCCAACCCAGCTGCATTGCAATTTCATCTGAGACTCAAAACGCTTGAGATTGAATCTTGAATTGTTCTC